TGTGCCAAATTAGAATGTAAGGAAAAAAAAAAAAAAAAAAGAAGAAAGAGCGAGCACACAAGTGAGAGCGAGCAAGTGCATGTGGAAGACTGCTAAAAGTAGACACCTGCGCAGTTAGCTAGTGCTGATCTGCTACCCTGCTAGCTATACCTTAGCAGGCTGCATTACGTTTAAGCCTGCTGCAGCCAAAACAGGGACTGCAAAATATATTGTATCCAAAGTTCTTACCTGGAGCAGTTCAAAAGTTATACTCTAACCTTTGGCATTTATTTCTTTGCAAACCTTCCCTAACTTCAAACGATAAGTTAAATATTTCTGCAGTACATAGTGGCACAGCTACTGATTCATCTCATTTCATCCCCCTGCCAAACAAAAACTTACCTAAACGTTAGCAGATGAGGAATATCCACTTTGAACTTAAGTCTCCCTCCCTCCCAACCGTGGCATCAATTAAACTGCTGCTCTTCTAATCAGGAGATACAGTATGCTGTTACACAAACCGATCCCAAAAATACCAATGCAAATAGGTACAGCCCAATGCTGATCCTCTAACCACACCATAATACACCCAAGACCGGCAGACGCGAGAGATTTTTGACAGCTTCTGATATTTTATACTCAGCTCCAAAATAGGAAACCGTCCCTGCACATTACAACAGGATCTGAGGTATCAGCAGATATCAATTTCACTTTAACACCACAACACATATCGTCAAACTATGTCTTTCCTGACTTCACACGCTAGGAACAAAAGGCAGCAACGCTGTCAAGCACAGAAGCGAACGAGCCGAACGTCTGATCATTAAAGCGGGTAGGACTTATGAAGTGACTCATCTGTATAAGCCAGGAAAGTTATGGTAGAACTTAATCAGCGCTACTTGCTTTTTAAAAAAAAAAAAAAAAAAAGATGTTCATGAACTTATTGTCTTACCCTCACTCTATTACCAGCGGAAATTACTGGAGACGACAACGACAACAACAACAAGGACACCGGGAAGGGAGATGATCTGACTACAGGGGACGTCCATCCCATCACGCCAGTCCTACCGAGTCAGCTCCTGAGACCCTGAAGAGCGTCACTTTTAACACCGATACATTTGCATTTCAAATACTGGGAGATTTCGGAAGCTGAGTCTCGCTTGTGGCCGGTCAGGGCTGGCGAGGGGCTCGGACAATCCTCACCGGCGCTTGGGAAAACAGTGGGGTGTGGGGGGAGGATACTGGGATCGCTTTTACCAGGACGCGGGGCCCTCAAGAGGCTCCGTCCAGCCCCTTTCCCACACGGAGCGGGGGGCTCGGCCCTTCTGCACCTTGCTCGCACTGCGACGGGCGGCACCAGGCACCAGGCAAGGGCCGACCCGACCCGACCCGCCCCGCCCCTGCCCCGGGGGGAGCCCCCCAGGACCCCCGTGCTCACCTCCTCCAGCAGCGTGACGGTGTTGCGGCAGTTCTGCAGGCGCGTGGTGAAGCTGGACGTGGTGGGCGAGTTGTAGTCCTCCGTGGTCTCGGCGATGAACTCGCACACGCTGATCTGGTCCGGCATGGTCCTGCGGGGAAGGCGCGTTAGCACGCGGCGGGCTTCCCCGGCCGCTCCCCCGGCCCGACACTGGCTGGGCGGGCTCGGAGGCGGCGGGACGAGATCGCCCTGC